TTACTAATATAATGAAGTCCGTTGAATTATAAATTGCTACTGGGTAATTTTGGAGTAAGTATAAATGCAGCATCTGCCACATTCATCCATCTTGAGTACATGTCATATGGTGAAATGAAATATGAAGAGCTACTTATAATTTGAAAATTTAGGCTAAATGCTACTGAACTATTTAGTGTTCCACATTTTCATCCCTAAAAAATCCAATTTCTCTTTTGATTTTTCTTTCTCCTCCACTAGTAGCATTAATATAATTTCTATATCTAGGTAATTCATGGGATAAATCACTAAAAATAAAAAAAAAGGAATTTCAAATAGATTCATTCAAAAAACATGAAGCCATTTTTCAGCATGACGTTATTAGGAACCAAATCCTAGAAATGTTTTCTAACATTATTCTTTGCTAAATAATGGTTGACAAGGAATAAGCAACTTGAGTTTATAATTTTAAAAGGACTGTTAATAAAGCTTTAGTTTCTAATAAAATAAGCATACTCATCAACAGAGTGGAAATAGAAATAAGTATTGGAAGAGCAGTCTTGCAGGAATAATATTTTTTATAGCCCTTAGTCATAAATTTTTCCTGAGACTGTGGCTTTCCTTTTATGATGCTCAGCCATTTTTAGTACTGTATATGTGTATCTTAAAAATTAAAAGCATTAGCCCCAAATGTCCTATGCTTTGGTTGTAGTGACAATAATTTAGAGACAGCTTGATTATCATCAGAAGGAGGCTGTTGTATCCACAATGTGAAACATCATGCAGCTGTTAAAAAAGTAAGTTACTTGTTGCTTGTTTGATTCTTGTATAATGTCTAGGACAACCATTTTTGTTAAAAACAAAACAGAAAAAATGTATATTATATACATACACACACACATGCAATTGATTATATAAATAATAAACACATGTTCGTAAGACCATAGAAAAATATTTGGTATGATACACATCAAACTGATATAATTGGCTATCTCAAAAAGAGTGGAAAATTATTTTTTTCTTTATTCACCTTTTCTTTTTTTGACCTGTACTAAAAACTATATGTAATATTTATAATTTATAAAAACTAATAGATCAAACAATATTATGGGGAGGGAGGCCCTGAAAGTAACAATAAGGGGACTGAGCCATTTCATATGTTCTTTTATAGTTTTCCGTTTTTTATGGGATTGGCTAAACAAGTAATACAGAAACAGGTGTATTCAAAACTAGTTAGTGTTCAGTCACCTTGCTGCGATTAGGGAGCGATCCCTGTGGGTGAGTGAAAGAAGCACATCATCTTCTCCAAAGGCCACCAGAGCACATGTTGGAACGAGACATAAATGGGAAGAAAACAAGCTGGGAATTAAATTAGGAAAGGAGTAAAAATACAGAGAGCTAGATGCATGACAGAGGCTAGCTGCTGAGAAACAGAGCAAACCATGCAGCTCATCTGAAGCAGCGGGGTGGAATGTTAGTCAAGTGGCATGCAAAGGAAACATAGTTGGCTGTCACTTTGGGTCACTTTGTCACTTAGTCAGCAAATAATAGGATCGTGGGTAAGAATGCTGACTTAGAATCAGACTGATGTGGGTCTGAATACTAGACTCACCACTGTTCATATAACTTGACTTCTCTGTATTCCAATTTTTCTCAAATGTAAAATGGAGATAATGAAATTACTTTTTATAGGATTTTGGTGATGTTTAAGTGAGATGATCCATGTAAAGTTTTAAATTAGCACAGTTTGACAAATAATAAGACCTCAAAAACACTGGCTGTGATTATTGCTGGAAAAGATAAAGATCATTTAAAACTTGAGTAAAAAATTGGTATTTAGAATAACAAAAAAATCAAAGCATAGTAATTTAGAAGCAAATCATTGGGGCAAGAAAATCCAGAAAAACTATTGTTATGAATAATTTTGAGTGATGCATGTTTAGAGACTCAGCTAGTTTTCTAGCTGAGGAAGTGCATTTTCAATATAAGATATGGTTAAGGTATCATATATCAAAATAAACTCCAGGTGGCATTTACTAACTGCTTATGTGATCACTAGGGCTGAAATACAATGTTATTAAATTGACATCATGTCAGTTCTGTTTCATTCAAAGTAAGTTTAAGCATGTTGCCTTTTAGGCTTCTTCTGACTGACATGTAGCTGATTTCTTTCTAAAGAATAGTCCTTCAGATGTGAGGCAAAAAAAATTATTATTCAGATCCCAAAACTTTTAAAATTTGGAATGGCATTTTAATAACTAATCTTCCTTGAAAATGGCTGATACAGGCTGTAAGGAGACACCGTTATGACCAATGCTGGTGAACCCATAGGCTGTTTGGAGAAACCATTTATGGACAAATACCCTAAAGTTGGATGATTATGGACACCTATTCAGAACAGGAGTTAGCAACCTAGACGCAAATGTGTGAGGCAAACATGGTCAGGTCCAAGTTTTAGGAGGTTTTCAATACATTTCAACTGTAAATGAATTGAATGGACCAAAAAACTGATAACAAAACAGCTTTTCATCTTCAGCCCAGGTAACATAGATAATGTAAAAATTGATAAGTGAAGATCAAGCATCATCACGCATGTAATAGGCTAGTATGTTCTGGTCTCTTTTCCGCTCCTCCACAACCCCCAACCTCTACTTCATATTGAACTTTACTGACTGCATTGTTGAAAAGAGTATAGATTTTATGCATGTTTCTTTTCTTATTTGGTGGAATCACTTCCTATTTTGACAATTCAAGGAGTAAATGATAATGTAGCCTATTTCCCTGAAATCAAGGCCTCTATTTTGCATAACACAATGAAGTTTTTAAACAGGAAAAGGAAAAGGAAGAATTTAATTAGTGGGGAAGTTTGAAAATATACTTTAAAGAATATCCAGGAAAGGAATAAGGGCATTTGACATCCTCTAGAGATCTTTTCTATATAACTAAAGCATATGAGAAAAGCAGATGTTACCAATGGAAAGGACAAAGCTGAAACACCCTGCAATTACCCACCAAACCACAGTGAATGGTTCATAGGGACTAGGGTATTCTTCTGTCAGGAGAAGTCTCTGGAAATACAAATAAATGTAGATAATTCTTCAGTACAAAGATTATGACACTAGGTGTAGGAATATACACTTAGGGAATCAGTTTCTCTGAAAAAGAGACTGAGGATGACGTTAGGACCCTGGAATGAGCCCGAGTCAACATTAGAAGAAACCCAAATTTATTTTCAATAATTGAATCTGTCCAATTTACATTAGATTCTGTAGTCTTTTTTTTTTTTTAAGATTTTATTTACTGGGGCGCCTGGGTGGCTCAGTCGTTAAGGGTCTGCCTTCGGCTCAGGTCATGATCCCAGGGTCCTGGGATCGAGCCCCGCATCAGGCTCCCTGCTTGGCAGGAAGCTTGCTTCTCCCTCTCCCACTCCCCCTGCTTGTGTTCCCTCTCTCACTGTGTCTCTCTCTGTCAAATAAATAAATAAAATCTTTAAAAAAAAAGATTTTATTTATTTATTTGAGAGAGAGTGCAAGTGCGTGCACACACACAGACACACACAAGTGGGGGGAGGGGGAGACGGAGAGGGAGAGGGAGAGGGAGAATCTCAAGCAGACTCCACACTGAGCGCAGAGCCTGTGGCCAGGCTCTGTCTCAGGACTTTGAGATCATAACCTGAGCCTAAATCAAGAGTCCATCATTCAACTGACTGAGCCCCCCAAGCGCTGCTAGATTCTGTAGTCCTGAAATGAGCAGGACCTGGGTAATCCAAGATGTTTTTAAGACCACTTCAAACCCTAGTCCAATACTGTAGTAGCCTCCCGTGAGACAAAAGAATATTAATCTAGTAATTATTTCCTTTCCATAGCTCAATTATCAATAAGAAAAGAAGAGGACATATGTGACTACAGGACAAAACTTTATAGATGTTATTTCCATATAAGTTGTTACCAAAGGCAAGGATTAAAGGCAAAAAATGATACCCAAATTGTCAGTAACTTAGTATCTTAGAAGTATGGAAAAATGAACTCCTAACACATATGAGAAAGAGTGGTCAAGTATTTTGGGTTTTTTTTTAAGATTTTATTTATTTATTTTAGAGAGAGAGAGTGTGAGCAGGGGGAGGAGCAGAGGGGGAGGGAGAGGAGGAGGGGAATAATCTCCAGCAGACTCCGTGCTGAGTGCAGAGCCCCATGTGGGGGCTCAATCCTACGACCCTGAAATCAGGGCCTGAGCTGAAACCAAGAGTCAGATGCCCAACAAACTGAGACACCCGGGTGCCCCAAATTATTGTCAAGTTTAATGATGAGGTGTTTTTTTTTAATGATGAGGTTTTATGAGTTATAGAAAACACTGAAGAAAGTAAGAAGAATCTCTTAAACTTACTTATATATTTTTCTCACCTAAATAAGCATAAAATAAAAATTAGAACTGTTTTTTCTATATAAAATTTTTAAAACATACAAGTTTAAATAGGATTTAACACTATCAACAGCTTATTTTCCTAATGTCAGAAACAGTCTTCTTTGTGCCCACCCAGAAGAACAGCCTTTTTAATGTGTGAAATGATTATGAACATTTGCTCAAACTGTTTAAACACAATTAATTATGAATGGTCATCATTCTACGGTATTGTTTATTGGTCAACGTTTCATAATACTTTCAAAAGAGTCTTGGAAATAGCTGGATGGACTGGGAGTAGTCATTACTAGACCAAGGGCAAATCAGGTCATGTTTCTATCAGTCATGCCTGTTTGCATGGTTATAATGGTGACTGTCAAATGCCTACTGGTATCAGACATTGTTATAGGTACTTATAAGTTTTATCTTGTTTAATATTCAAAACCAGGACATTGAAGAACTTGCCAAAAATTACACAGCTGGTGTAATTTTGTAAGAAACTCACATCAATCTGACTCTAAAGCCTGTGCCCTTTCTCCTAAATTGCGCAGTCTTCTGACGTGATTTAACAACTGCTGAAAGAACTAGCTCCTTTTTTTTGTATATATAACATCTTATAAATAATGAGAACCTCCAGCATTTTGTAAGTAATAGCCACTTAAAAAATATTTCCTGGATGAGTGAATGAATGAGTGGTCAACTAACTTATCTCCAGAATCAGGTAGGCCATTTCTGAACTTGCCCAGATAGATAATGTATTTTTTTAAAAGATTTTATGTATTTATTTGAGAGAGAGACCACAAGTGGCGAGCGGTTGGGGGGCAGAGGGAGAGGGACAAGCAGACTCCCTGCTGAGCAGGGAGCCTGACATGGGGCTCAATCCCAGGACCCCAGGATCATGACCAGAGGTGAAGTCAGAAGTTTAACCGAATGAGCCACCCAGGTGCCCCTAGATAATGTATTTTTAAACATCTTCAGAATAGCAGAATTCACAGTTTCCCTTGGTAACCAGTTTGTGCTAATTTTTAACTAAGTACTTTACACAATAAAGTTCCAAAACAATAAGAGAAACCTGTCAGTTCAGTATACAATAAAACAGTGACACCATTTCTTAGAAATCTTAAAATAAAACAAAGTTGTATGGATGAAAATATTTCTTAGAAATATGAAACTTAACATTTAGCTATTTTCTAATACAAATCTAATCGAAATCATTTATATTTTCATTCTTATTAAATGTAATTTTCTCAGGATGCCTGGGTGGCTCAGTCAGTTAAGTGTTTACCTTCAGCTCAGGTCTTGATCTCAGTCAGGGTCCTGGGATCAAGTCCATCATCGGGCTTTCTGCTCAACAGGGAGTCTGCTTCTCTCTCTCTCTCTCTCCTTCTGACCCTCCCCACCACTTGTTCTCTCTCTCTCTTAAATAAATAAATTTAAATAAATAAATAAATAAATAAATAAATAAATAAATAAATAAATAAATGTAATTATCTCTACCCCCCAAATTGTGGAACAAACTATTTTCTGAATATGATCAGCTTTTGCGATGATACTGAACTCTCATAAACGACAATGAGTAGAAAGAGAAATTTTGAATTCACTCATCTCACAGAATGATCCACTAATAAAGTCAAGATGTTGTAGGGCCAACTATAAGTATTTCAGTAATTTGCTGAACCACCTAATATCAATACTTCTTTTTTTTAAAAGCAATGAACTTTATTTTTTAGAGCAGTTTTAGGTTCACAGAAAAATTGGGTGAAAAGTACAGAAATTTCCCATGTACCCGCTGCCCCCACATAACCACGCACAACCTTGTCCAACTGCAAGCATCCTACACCAGAGTAATATATTTGTTACATATGATGAACCTACTAATATCAATACTTTTTAAAATTCCACTGAATTTCTCACCTTTTTTTAAAAAAATCGTGACCAAGAACAGATAATCATAAACAGAATCAGCTGAATTCTTGCTAAACCTAAAAAAGAAAGTTATCCAATGAATCACTTTTAAGTGAGCGATTTGAAAAACACTTTATACATTCAGCCATTGCATGCTACATGATGCCACAACTCAGAAGTAGTCAATGTAGATCAAGTGAAAGAAACAACTGTTTCGTCCAAACATCATAGTTTGTCATTAAAGAGAAATACTCCTGATTTTCTCCCAGAGCTTTCTTTGAAGGTAGGTTATGTCATGACATGAAGTACTCTGCACATGCTCACCCTTGAAAGTATGTTCCCATGTTGCCTTTTTGGGGAATCACCCTGAATCCCCTCTCCCTCCCCTCATCCCAGAGCAGTCGCTCCCTTTGCTCTAACCCAGAGGACTCCATATTTCATTATGTTGCAACAAGAATGTGTTTTCTTCATCTACTGTGGAATTTTTGGCTGTAGAAAGGATCTCTTAGTCATTGTTCAAATATTTATAGATAGAATTTTCTTCCTAGCATTCTCTTCTCCAAACTAAACATATAATAGGTCTCCCTATTCCCCATATACAAGTTTTTCAAGGCCCTTAAACAACCTGCTTTCCTCTGGATGCTCTGCTTGGCAAATGACCCCCATGCCTCAAAAATAGCATCCAACACTGGAGTCCAATCTATTTATTTGAGGCTGGCCCACAGAACTCTCCAGTTTATGCCATTATAATACCTTGGATGAAAAACCATTTTATAAAAAGTTTCTCTGAACAATTAAACATCTTTGATAGTATGTCAGATTAAGTCACTCAATGGGCACATATTAAATAGTTCCTCCATGGCAGACAGTGTGCTCAGAACTGGAGATCGGCCATAAGTACCCTCAAGATCCAAGGAGGATCTTTCTGTGTAGACTTTTAGAATGTATTAGCATGTGTCTCACATATATGGAAGTTTCATAAAAAAATACTTTAGGGTCACTCTGGGTTATATCAATATAACAAACTTTTTTTTTCCTTAGGACTTTTTGCAGCTTCTAATATTTGAATGTGAATTGTGACTCTCCCAGACTCAGAATATAATACAGATTATTTCCCAAACTTACTTGGTGACACCACGCTGTTTTCACAATGCATCCTGTAGAAACATCTCATGAAAATATTTTGTGAAATACCCTGTAGCGTTTATAGCCAAGTAAACAGATCATTGTGGCTTAAGGAAGTAAGAGCTTGGTAGCATCACAGGATGGGATACAAGTACAAAGGAACTTTTCAAGGATGGAGTGTGTGAGGAAAAGCTTCTAAAAAGAAGTTATATAAAAAGAGGGGAGGGGTGCCTGGGTGGCTCAGTTGGTTAAGCATCTGCCTTTGGCTCAGGTCAGGATCCCGGGGTCCTAGGATCGAGCCCTGCCTCGAGCCATGCGTGGAGCCCCACATGCTCCCTGCTCAGCAGGGAGTCTGCTTCTCCCTCTCCCTCTGACCCTCCCCCCTGCACGTGCTCTCCCTCGCTCTCTCTGTCTCTCTCAAATGAATAAATAAAAAATCTTAAAAAAAAGAGGCGAGTCAGTTGTGGGGTTTAAGAAAAACTCTTCAGGCATGGACAGAGCCAAAAATGGCTTCCTGTGCACAGTGGCATTCCGTGATCAGAACTGCAAACATATTTATGTTAGCTGGAACAGACGTAGGCAAAAGGCAACATCAGCACTTTGAGCGAGAACCTGGCCATGAAAGTCAGGAATCCTCCCTCACTCTGTCTTTTCAGGAAGTACACAAAACCAGCAAGAATAGCAAATAAAAAATAAAGATATTTTCAGAGAAACTAAGAAACATATAATCTGCAAGTCCTGGAATATAACTATGAATTGACAAAAACAATTAAGATTGGGCAGAAACAATATGGGAGTTGATGAGTAGAAGGTGGGGCATGCTTGGTGTTGGAATACTTTTTTGCAGCAAGGGTGAAGGGACTGTGTTGAGCAGTGCAGGTAGCAATCTGACTTAGAGTAACAGAAGACGTGGGACTCTAAGAAAGAATGGCACTGATAAGCCATATTTGCAGGAAGCAGTCTGCTTCTCTGGCAGCAAACGAGGAGAAATGTTCTAAGTGGGGACCACTCTCTATTTAACTGAAATGGAGCTTAGAGAAAATAGCTGTTCTAGGAATATACAAACCCATTGAATAACTAAATTAATAGAAAAGAAGCAAGTATAAAATCAATACAAAGGCAGTGTAAGAAGAAAAAAGGTATCAAAAAAAACTCATTAGAAAAGTGTAAGCAACAAGAATAAAAGTAAAAAGAGTAATCCCTACAACATGTAAAGCCTTAATGGTTAAAAGAGTGTGGTAGTGACACATGAATAGATAAAGAAACAGATGGATAAATTCGGAAACAGACCCAAGTGCACACATGGGTTTAGTACAGGTTGCTTCAGAGGCATTTCAGATTTGGTTGCAGACCGCCACAACAGAATGGGTATTGCAACTAAATGACTCAAGCGAATTTTTTGGTTTCCCAGTGTGCATAAAAGTTATGTTTAGAGAGTGCCCCTCTATTTGCTAGATGGCATGGGGCCCGATTCATGAATCATTTAGTAAACTCAATTAGGTCTTTAAAATGGACTCCGTTGAACTTTTGTTACCAGATTTGGTGGCAGCACCAGGACCTGAACTGAACTTGCAGCAGCATTCGAGGACAAGAGAGGAGCAGAGGCATGGTGTCCACGAGCCCTTGGAATTCACCATCTTTCTTGCTGTTTTCGAGGTGTGTAGGTAAGTTCCTCTTGGTCCTGCGTTCACTCTTTTTTGGATTTGAGCTCTTGATCTAACTGGCTTTCCTTTACAAGGCAAGTCAGCTTGAGCCGGCAGATGGTTCTGCCTGGAGCCCAGTTGGGCTGGCATGTTTACCTGGAGCTCAGCTGAGCTGCCAGAAGAGTCTGCCCAGAGCCGGGTCCCTGGCTTTTCAGACTATGATTCCCTGGGTGGAAAACTTCAGCAAGCTTCCAGGGGAATTGTTGGTGAACACAGGGCCTTCTTGTGGCCAGGATGCAGGATTGTCCATCTGTTCAAGTATACACATTTGTCTTATTTTGTATAGATCTTGGCTATACAGGCTATTACTAGCAGGGATCTTGGAAGCCAAAAAGGTACAAAAATTGGTAGGCACCGACTGAGCATTTAAAGGCTATTAAAGCACTCACCACCTCGAGAAAACTCGTGTGATAGGATCAGTTGGTCACAGAATGGGTTAGATTGACACCAGGTCACCTGACAACCTCAAGAAGACTTCCGTGCAATGAGGTTCACTGGAAACCACACACAATCCCCAACTGCACAGCACTCCCTTTTAGGTATTAGTTCGGTTCCAAGAAACCCAAGGGCTTAGCTAATAGGAACCTTAAATTCTAAAGAATCAAGCATGCCACCTTTGATGCACCTCTTATTTTCCATCTAAGACCTATAGTCCTGGAAGTTGCAGCAAACTAGCAAAAATAGCAAAACCTGACTGAGCTTGTTTTGTGTCCTGAGCAATTTGGTTTGGTAACCATCGTGCTGGGGCCCCTGGATAAGGCTGGACAGAAATGTGGGCTAACCTCATTTGCAGCTACATTTGGCCAGACAGAAATGCAGGTTCACCCCATCTGTGGCTGGGGTTCTACCGAACTGCTGCCAGCCCTCAGGAATTACAGCAGCCATTATGGAGAACATTCCAATTAGATGAGATTCTTTAAGAAGTGGACTTGGAAGTAAGGATTCCCAAATCAAACAAAATGAGATACCGGTAAGTTTCTTGTTTTATTTTAATGCCAGCATAGTTAACTTACAGTGTTAAACGAGTTTCAGGTGTACAGTGTAGTGATTCAACAACTCTATACATTACTCAGTGCTCATCGAGATAAGCATACTCTTAATCCCCTTTACTGATTTCACCCATCCCCCCACCCACCTCCCCTCTGGTAACCATCTGTTTGTTCTCCATAGTTAAGAGTTTGTGTTTTGGTTTGTCTCTTTTTTTCCTTTGTTCATTTGTTTTGTTTCTTAAATTCTTTGTGAATGAAATCATATGGTATTTGTCTTTCTCTGATCTATTTAGCTTAGCATTATACTCTCTAGGATACATCCATGTTGCAAATGGCAGATTTCATTGTTTTTTTATGGCTCAATAATATTCCTTTGTATATATATGTAAAACATCTTCTTTATCCACTCATCTGTCATTGGACACTTGGGCTGCCCAAGGAATACCTATTTTAATTGGCATGGAGAAGTCTCTAAATGTTAAAAAATTCCGAAGTAGTTTCATTGTGAGATTCATTACAAAAGGCTAATTAAAAAGAGAAAAGTTACCTAAAATGAGACTATAAGCTGGACATAACTCCTACTACTCCCCTCTATCATTTGAGTGCTTATCCTAACACTCCTCTGTGTGAATTATGTTTTTACTCTGCAGAGACTATGAAACAGTTACCTTTTAAAATAAGGCCACTCAGGGCTATACGTGATTCCCTCCCTCCTTTGTCAAAGTTCAAACTAAGGACCATAGTTAAAGAATTTCTTAAACCTAGGTAGGATCCACAAGAGGTTTTGTAAAACTCCTGAGCCCAGTCAAGAGAAATACAAATTTTCATCACCTCTTCCTTTCTTAAAAAAAAAAAAAAAAATGTTATGTTTACACTATAGTCCAGTAACTGTGCAATAGCATTATGTCTAATAAAAAATGTACATACTGTATTGCTAAAAAATGCTAACCATCATGTAGGCCATAATCTTTGTGCTGGTAGAGGGTCTTCCCTCAGTGTAGATGGCTGCTGACTGATCAGGGTGGTGGTTGCTGAAGGTCAGGGTGGCTGTGCGAATTTCCCAAAATAAGACAACAGCTGAATTGCCACATGGATTGACACTTCCTTTCACAAATGATTTCTCTGTAGCATTCAATACTGTTTGATAGCATTTTACCCACTATAAAACTCCTTTCAATATTGAAGTCAGTCCTCTTCAACTCTGTCACTGTTTATCAGCTGAGTATATGTAATGTTCTAAATTCTTTGTTGTCATTTCAACAATATTCACAGTGTTTTCACCAGGAGTAAATTCCATCTCAAGAGACCACTTTCTTTGCCCATCCATAAGAAGCAACTCATCTCTTCAAGTTTGATCAGGAGATTGCAGCAATTCAGTCCCATCTTCAGGCTCCAATTCTAATTCTAGTTCTCTTACTGTTTCCACCACATCTGCAGTTCCTTCCTCCACTGAAGTCTTGAACCCCTCAACGTGTCAACCCGTGGAGGCTGGAACCAACTTCTTCCAAACTCCTGTTCCTGTTGACATTTGGACCTCTTCCCATGAATCACGAGTGTTCTTAATGGCATCTAGAAGTGAATCCTTTCCAGAAGGTTTTCAACTTACTTTGCCCAGACCTGTCAAAGGAATCAGTCTCTAGGGCAGCTATGGCTTTATGAATTTCTTAAATAACAAGCCTTGAAAGTTGAAATAACTCTTTGATCCCTGGGCTGCAGATGGCCATTATTTTAGCAAGCTGTTGTCCATCTCCATCAGAGCTTTTAGGTGACGGGGTATGTTGGTAATGAGCAGTCATATTTTGAATCTTTTTTCTCAGTAGTAGTTCTCAACAGTGGGCTTAAAACATTCAGCACACCATGTTGAAAACATGTGCTGTCCTTCAGGCTTTGTTATTCCTCTCATAGAGCACAGGCAGAGTAGATTTATCATTATTTTTAAGGGCCCTAGGATTTTCAAGAATGGTAAATGAGCTTTAACTTAAAGTCACCACCGCATTAGCCCCTAGTAAGAGAGTCAGCCTGTCCTTGGAAACTTTGAAGCCAGGCATTAACTTCTCTTCTCTAGCCACCAAAGTCCTAGATGGCTTCTTCTCTGAATTTAGGGAAGACTGTTTCCTCTACAATGAAAATCTGTTGTTGAGTGTAGCCACCTTCACAAATTATCTTGGTTAGATCTTCTGGATCACTCACTGCAGCTTCTCCATCAGCACTTGCTGCTTATCTTGCACTTTTATGTAATGGAGACAGCTTCTTTCCTTCAACTTCATGAACCATCCTCTACCAGCTTCAAATTTGCCTTCTGCAGCTTCCTTACCTCTCTCAGCTTCCATAGAATTGAAAAGAGTCAGGGCCTTGCTCTGGATTAGGCTTTGGCTTGAGAGAATGTTGTGGCTGGTTTGATCTTCCATTCAGCCCACTGCAACTGCCTTTATATCAGCAATAAGACTGTTTCACTTTCTTATCATTTATATGTTCACTGAAGTAGCACTTTTCATTTCCTTCAAGTACTTTTCCTTTGCTCTCACAACTTGGCTGACTATTTGGCTCAAGTCACCTAGCTTTCAGCCTTTCATGGCTTTTGACGGGACTTTCCCAGTAAGCTTAATCATTTCTAGCTTTGGTTTTCAAGTGAAAACCATGCAACTCTTTCTTTCACTTGAATGTTTAGAGGCCGTTGTAGGGTTACTAATTGGCCTAATTTTAAATCACTGGGTCTCAGGAAATAGAAAGGCCTGAGGAGAGGGAAAGAGAAGGGGAACAGCTGGTCGACTGAGCAGTCAGAACCCATACGGTATTTTCCGACCAAGTTCACCATCTTATATGGCCATGGTTCATGGTGCCCCAAAACAATCACAGTAGTAACACTAAGGATCACTGATCACAGATCACCATAACAAATATGATCATAATTAAAAAGTTTGACATATTGTTAGAATTACCAAAATGTGACACAGAGACCTGAAGTGAGCAAATGCTATTGAAAAATGAGGCTGATAGATTTGCTCAATACAGGGCTGCCACAAACCTTCAATTTGTAAAATAAAATTAAAAAATGCAGTATCTGCAAAGTGCAATGAAGAGAAGCACAATAAAACAAGATCTGCCTGTATACGGCACAGGTGGCATCTCAAGTCTGGGTGAGGAAGAGGGACAGTGTTGGGGCGCCTGGGTGGCTCAGTCATTAAGCGTCTGCCTTCGGCTCAAGTCATGATCCTGGGGTCCTGGGATGGAGCCTCATGTTGGGCTCCCTGCTCCGCGGGAAGCCTGCTTCTCGCTCTCCTACTCCCCCTGCTTGTGTTCCCTCTCTCGCTGTCTCTCTCTCTGTCAAATAAATAAATAAAATCTTTAAATAAATGGTGTGGGAACAGCTAGGTAAACTTTTGAAAAAAATTTAGGTCAAATCCATACTTCACATTGTACACCAAGATAAATTTCAAATAGAGCAAAGGTTTAAGTGTTAGCAACCACAGCTAAAGAAACTAATCATCCATACTTCCATTGTTAGCCTCTGTGAGGATATTTGATTCCCACCACTTGGTATTTTCAAACTTTTTGATATTTGCAAATTTAATGGGAAGCTTGCATTTTCCTGATTACTGCAGTTTAAGCTGCTTTTTCTGTGTTTATTAACTATCTGGATGTCCTGTTCTGTGAAATTACCTGTTCGAATCTTTTATCCACTTACTCCTATTTGGTTGTTTGTCTTTTTCATATTGATTATTTTAGGGTTCCTGTTTACTTCCTAGAAAACAATGTGTTGTTTGCTTTATGTGAGACAATTATTTTCTTCTATATTAGGGCTTATCTTTTAATTTTATATGTGGCTTCTCATGTGCACCTGTTTGTTATTTTGATGGAGTCAAATTGTCATTCTTTTCCTTTATGATTTTTGCTTTTTGTGTTCTTTTGAAGAGGACTTCCTGGCCTAAAGGTCATAAGGATATTCTCCTGTCTTCTCTTATGAAGGAAAAG